ATTCTCTTCCCACATTTTCTCAGCAGACAAACATAGCATTACGAAATTGCAGAATTAAAGAAAAGGAAAATAAACCTCAAGGGTTTCTGGAGGTGGGACTAGGCTCTCTTGGGACTCTAAGACTTCAGGAGCAGCATAAACCCTAGTTGATGACTGTGAGGGTCTTAAAGCTCTAAGCTTTAAGGCATTGTTAGCAGAGGGAAGAGCGAAGGAAGAGACATTGAGTTTAGAGGAAGGAAATGGGGAAGAATTGGTGAGTGGAAGCGAAGGGATTAGGATTGCAGACATTGAAGAAACTGCCATTGAAGTGAAGCTCTCTTTCTCTTTCTCCCTCCGTGTTTAGAAGAAGGCCTTGTTTTGCTCACTCTGTGCCTGTAGAATTATCCAAAATAATTTTTATTTTATTTTTATTTGACAAAAATAAAATGCCAACCTGTAGTTTGGGCGGGTTATAGGTTGGAAGCCCAGGCCTGATTGTGATATAAGTGGGCTTGTACCCACGGGCCGAAGTGGTAGCCGGAGGCCCGATAGGATAAAGTCCGGCTTGGCAAGATGAATAGGCCTGCTCAATCTGGCCCGTTCTAAGGTTGGATAGAGCTTGGACTTAGGATTTGAAAGCCCCGGTCCAGCCCAACTAGGCCCGCCCATTGTCTTTTCTTGCCTTATCTCCATCCCAAATATTTAAGTAAATGTTTTATCTTTTTACTTTAATTTATTTTTATATTACTCCATTTACTTACATTTACAATGTAAATAAGAAAGTACCCCCATTTGGATTCAATTAAAAACACTAGAAAATCTAATTCCCAACAAATCAAAATATGAAAAATCCAATTTTAATATAAGATACAGTTTATACCAATATTGATACCTCAATAAGTCAATGTATACTTTATACTAAAATCTCATAAAATACAGTTTATGGCATAAGATATTGGTACTCCTTTTCATTGCAATGTATTTTATGGCATAAGATATTGGTGCTCCTTTTCATTGCAAATTGCAATGGTGTAAAAAAAAAAAACACAATTCGTCCAATAAAAATGATTACGATGGTAATTAAATGATTAAACCATTTTTATTATTTATTTATTTATTTTTTATGAGAACAATTCTTGAAAGAAGTTCGAAAACATGGATGATCTTAATCATTGGACCACAAGCCAGAAAAGCACATTTTTTTTTTATAAATGTGGGGCATGCATTCTTGAATCTTCATGTATGTTTGTTTGTTTGTTTTCTAATACAAATGTAAATCTAATTTACGGAAAGAGGTCTTCGAGCTTAGATGCAAGGGGCAGACTCATTGCCTTCGCCAACTGGGCGACTTGGGTGCAAATTTTGCAAACCTTCATGTTTGTAAGTCTTATCTAAGATTTTTTTTTTTTTTTAATTTATAAGAAAAAAAAGAGGATATGACAGTTAGTATAAGGATAACTACTCTTCGCCACTAACCTTAAATGAATGTCAATCAAAATTCTAATAAACAAGCACATATGATCTTTAAGTATTGCAATTATGGCTTCTAAATCTAGCCCCCTGTCTCTCAAACAACCCTCTTAGAGCCATTTTCACTTTGAGGGGGGAGAAAGCCATTGTCCTTTCTCCCATCTTCCTTCTTCTCTTCCTCCCTCACTTCTGCCCTCATTTTCAGTGACAAAAAGTTTTCCCTATTTGGCATTGTTTTGTTATGATTTTCCTCCAACCATCACAGACGGCTGTGTCTCGGCGTCGGATCTCCACCTGCGTTTCGACGTCAAATCTCCACCACCATCCTTTTGGTGGTTTCTTTATGTTCGGAATAAGTCACAGAGACTCCTTGGGTTCTCTGTGTAGTTTTCACCTCTCCTTTTGCGAGAGTTTTTCACCTTTCCTTTGTGAGAGCTTTTCATTTCTCCTTTCTGAGAGCTTTTCATCTCTCCGTTGTGAGAGTTTTATTTTTATTGTTATGGCTTGGTTTTTTCAAGCTTTATATATATATTTTTTATTCTGAGTTTGCAATCTTAGTTGGGATGCCTATGCCAGAGTTTCTTCGATCCTGCGTGATCGTTAGTGGAGGCGCACCTGATTGTCTTAATTTTGATGTTAGACTGCTACATTATTGTAATAGCCATTTGTGGCTAGTGACTTTTTTAGCTGAATTATAAATGCAATACTAGAATTTCTCAACAACAAAAAAAATCTAATTGTAGAGCACTACTAGAAAACCTCATTATAGGCCACTGATACACCTGTGGCTTATATTCTTGTTCACTACAGATAATTAGTAGCCAAAGGGTGTTGGCCACGAATTGGACATAAAAATCACGTGATTGTGTAGGTGTTGCCATTAACTTTCTACCACAGTAAAAGGTATTCGTGACCTATAAGTGGGTTAGTTTAGAGATTTCATGATACCTATATTGCTTGAAAATGGGTTTGAAATTTCAAATTGTATTACAGGATGGTGGTATACATAGCTATATTTATCAATTTAGTGGTGAAAGTCATTGAAGTTGTACACATATAATTATGATCATCAGCCCATGTGCATACTTGACCAAATTACCAACAAAGTCATCAGCTCTAACAAGTAACAAACAACAGCACTCCAAATTGACTCAAAATTAGCAAATTTACTCGTCATAGAGAGAGAGAGAGAGAGGGAGAGAGAGGGAGAGAGAGAGAGAGCTACTCAATCACAATGATGACTTTGGAGTCCATTGCCATTTATCTTACATTGCTACAAGGCCTGCAGTCTCACCAGGGAACTGAACTGAGGCAAGTAAAAATGATTCAGCATGGGACTGAGAGCAAAACATGGGAAGAACTATCTATTCCTACTTTTTACTTGCTACAGGGACAAAGTCGCAGTAAATGCTAGGTGAAGTACACCCAATTTCCATATATGGCGTAAGCAATCCTTACTTCTCCACCATGGTCACCAAAAGTCTTCCCTAATTTACTTCTATCCACCTATTGTCGTGCATGAGATTTTAGTGTATAAAATACACTCATGACCTACTGATGTGGTATATTGAATTCACCCAAATTATATCACATATATATACTGATTGTAAGTCCACCATTTAGATATAAATTTTAAATAATAATATTTTTATAAAAAGAGTACACGTGTAATAATTTGTAGATGCATCTTCATGGACACATGGTGTATCGTATCAACACCCTAATTCATCCGTAAAATAATCACAATTGACATGCAATTTTAGTTCATATTTATCTTACTAGCAAGAAACAAAAGAAGGTTAGTGTGAAACCAAATATGAACATAAAGGAAAACTGCATCATCAATTGGAATTTAAAATGTCTAGATTTAGCAAGCGACTTATAACTCAAGTGGTTAAGAGTATTTAACCTTGCTTCCGAGGTCTTAGGTTCGATTCCCCCATCCCCCAATATCTCTTGTATAACAAAAAAATTGCTTTTTTTTTTACGACATATACCAATTATTACCTCAAGTTAATTAACAAATGAGGTGACACATAATAGAACACTTGCTTTATCTATATCCATATATCTATTATATATATATAAAGCAAAAGGCAGAGAATGGTGAAACATTCAAAATACTAGAAAATGCCCTTGGTTAATGCAAACATTAAGAATTGAAATTATTAATTAAGTGAGGATAATATGGTCAATTCACACTTTTTCATATTAAAAAAAATTAAAATGAAAAGAAAAATCAGATAATTGATCCTATTTTTATGGAACACAACTAACCATTATCTTTTTTAATTCTAAAATAAATTTAAATTTTTTAAAAAAAGCCTCTCGCAGGCGCGGAAGCGCGTGCGGAGAGGCTAGTATATATAAAGTAAAAGGCAGAAAATGGTGAAACATTCAAAATACCAGAACATGCCCTTGGTTAATGCAAACATTAAGAATTAAGAATTGAAATTATTAATTAAATGATGATAATATGGTAAATTCACACTCTTTCATATTTAAAAAAAATTAAAAGAAAAAGAAAAATTAGATAATGGATCCTATTTTTATGGAACACAACTACCCATTATATTTTTTAATTCTAAAATAAATTTAAATTTTTTTAAAAAAGTCTCTCGCAGAAGCGGAAGCGCGTGCAGAGAAGCTAGTTGATTATAAAATGAAATGTTATCACATCAATTGGAATTTTAAAAGTTAGAATAATGGTGATCCTCAAATTATTCTCATTTGGATGTCTCTATCATTACTTCAATTTTTTCTTCTTCTTTTAGCACAAGCGATTAAGGGAGGGGGATTTACTACTATAGCCAGGTAAAACTTGAAACCTAGAACCTAGCTTTGAAAGGGCTTGGCTTTCAGATTTTGACATTGATTATGAAATATGAAGTAATTAATAAGACTGTAACTCCTTTTCAATAAAGAGACCCATCTTTCTTTTTTTGGTAAAGAAAGAGACCCATCTTTTTAAACAAAATGAGAAAGCAAAAAAAAAGAAACGAAATTATCTAGTTTTCTCTCAAGTGGAGACTCAATAATTTGACGTGGGGTGCATAACGGGCGTGAACTGCCCTGTGCGTGTGACCATTTTCTGAAAATCCTTAGCCATTTAGTCAAATGTTCATGCAAAGAGGCTGCAGCTATACCTCTATGTATTTATAACCAAAATCCCACTTGAAAACTCCAAATGGGTTTTTTCTTCTCCATTTTGTCAGTTACAAATTTTCAGTATCAGCTCAGAAAAACCATAACCGCTCTTTGGCTTTTCCACATCGTTTTAACTTCTAAGCTAATTATAAACCTACATTCCATGCTTCTCTCCTACTTGATCAATGAAAAATATTAACTCCGCCATTTAAGCATATAAGTTTTTTGTCCTGCTTTTAGCACAAGTTTGGTGACTGACCCAAATCTCTTTAAATTCCTTCAAGCTGAATTTCTCATATGTCCCATCTCTCTCTCTCTCTCTCTCTCTCTCTCTCCATATATATATATATATATATATGTGTAATGTGTGATCCTTAAATTCCATACTTGTACCTCGTCTTCTTTTTCTATATACTATGATTCTTCTTGTGCTACTCTCAACGTTTGAGAAGTCTCACAAGGAACACAAGAGGCAACACCCCACGCTCCCTCATTTATTATCTTCACCTCTTTCACTCCTCTTAACCTCCAAAACACTGAGAGTGCACAACAACATCTTAGGACTTTCTGGTTTTTCATGTACTTCTTAGTTTGAAAAGACTTTGAGACACATAGTTAGTGAGACCCAGAAAGAGAGAGTCATGGAATTGGGTGTCTTTAGGGTTTTTGTTGGTGCTTCAGTACTTGTTTTCTTGGGTGGTGTTGAAGTGGGCTTCTCACAAAGTGAAGCATATGCAAGGAATTATATAAGCTGGGATGATTTGAAGGTGGATGAGCCGAAGGTGGGGCTGAACTCCAGAAATGAATTCGTTAACGGAAGCCGGGTCATTGTGGTGGACAAGAATGGAGGAGGAGATTCTCTTACAGTTCAAGGAGCAGTTGATATGGTTCCAGAACAGAATACAGACAGAGTCAAAATTTACATTCTTCCTGGAATTTACAGGTCTGAAAATTCCGAGTCAAAATTGTTTCTTGAATTATTATCAGTCAAACTCCTAACAATGCTAGATTGTTTATGTGCCTCACGTCAACAGAACCTCAAAGAATTTTCAGGTCTTGCAGCTTTTGACAGTTTCTAGTGTTCTTGAGGGTTGAGTTTAAACCCAATTGAGCTACGTGGGGTAGTGGAAGTTACATGTGCTTTAAGTGGGGGCCTCTCCCTTAAAATGGGTTGCCCCAAAAAGAAAAAAAAGAAGAAAAAACTACCTGTATAATGTTAATGTGCTTTATCTGAGAACAAAAAGTAGTTTTTACTTAATTTTTTCTCCGTTGTAAATTGATGCAGAGAGAAGGTACTTGTACCGATTTCCAAGCCATACATATCATTCATTGGGAACCAGAATCAAACTTCTGATACTGTAATTACTTGGAACAACAAGGCATCTGATAAGGACGTTACCGGTTATGAACTTGGAACATATAGAACTGCTTCTGTAGCTATAGAGGCTGATTACTTCTGTGCAACTGGGATCACTTTTGAGGTAACGGCTAATAACGAACTCGGATGTAAAATAAGGAGAAAAGATTAAAATTGAGATTTATGTAAATTACAGCATTCAGTAACAGTAAGTAATTGGTATGCAAATTTTAGAACTCAGTGGTTGCAGTACCTGGAGGATATGGAATGCAAGCAGTGGCTCTTAGAGTTGCAGGTGATAAAGCCATGTTCTACAGAGTAAAGGTGTTGGGGACACAAGATACACTCTTGGATGAGACTGGATCACACTACTTCTACCGAAGTCACATTCAAGGAAGTGTAGACTTCATATTTGGTAGATCAAAATCACTCTACCAGGTACAATGGCTAACATTTTAATAGCTGCCTCTTCATGTTTCTTCATTATTCTGATGCTTGAATTTGGGCCTTGCTACCAGGAATGTGTTCTTCAATCAACGGCAATGAAATCGGGAGCAATAGCAGCTCATCACAGGGACTCACCATTTGAAGATACAGGGTTCTCTTTTATGAACTGCAAAATCATTGGAACTGGCAGTATCTTATTGGGAAGAGCTTGGGGTCCTTATTCAAGAGCAGTGTATTCCTACTGTCATTTCGACGACATAATAACTCCCTCGGGGTGGAGTGACTGGAACCACCCAGAGAGACAGAAGTATATATAACCTCTCTTGCAGAAAACTTAACAATTAACATCTCAGATTATCTCTTTTTGTTCTCAAAATATGGAAACTTTTAAACTTCTAACAGAAGAGAAAACTTTGCATTTACAGGACTGTGGAATTTGGAGAATACCACTGCAGGGGCAGAGGAGCAGCAGAGAGAAGAGGGAGGGTGCCATGGTTGAAGTCTTACAGCTTTGAGGAGATAAGGCCTTTTCTGGATACCAAATTCATATATGGAGAGCAATGGCTTAGACTATAGTTCTGTTCATTATTGTATTATTATTTCCTATCCTCATTTTTACCTCCACCACTATGGAAATGCAAATAGGCTAAGTATATATATAGGGGACTAAGATCGTGGGACATATATAAGTGAAGTAAATTTTGTGTGTATATTTTTCTTTTTGTTTTCCAGTCTATACCATTTTTTCTTTTTTCCTCCAACCTCTGTACTGATACTACTGAAGTGTAATAAATGGTCAGTGTGACCTTAAAGAAGTTGGTTCAAATCAGTGCCTGTTAGTCACTGTGTTTAGGCCCGAAAACACATTTGGTCACCGAAATTTAAATTTTACCAAATTGTTCACTATATTTCTGTCTCTTAGAAATTTAAATCAAAATTTTAACTTCTGTTACTTAAAATTAGAAAATAAGATTAAAATACAAAAGAAGCTTGTGAAAAAAAATAAAATAAAATTTGAAAACCCAGTCCGTGCCCTGTATACCAGCCATCGACTCTGCCACTCCAACCCACCAAGCCACCACCACTCTTTCTCTGTCCAACCCACCAGCCAACTCCCCTGTTATTATTTGATTAAAACCACAAAATCAAGAGCGAGTTTCAAGTGGGCATGCTTAAAACTGAGATGGGTACCGATCAAAATTGAAAGGGAAACAGAATTGCTGAACAAAATTTTGAAATTTTCGAGCAGCTGATGATGGGTGGGGAGGGGGGTGTGTCCTCTGTTTGTGTTTTGCGCTCGCAGGAGGACAAGGCGCCTTCGGCCATGTCTATGTCAATGGCTGCCGCTCTTTGTAGAAAATTCCACTGTGGGGTTTGGTGATGATGATGGGTGCTGTTGGGGTTTGGAGAAGTGGCCTCCTAGGTAATAATTGGCTGATTGTAAGGTTGTTTTAGGAAATGAAGAACTGAGGGAGATTGTAAAGCACAGTGTGTGTACGCAAGGTGTTTGTGTTTTGCTTCAGATAAAGCTTTGCTCTCTCTGCTTTGAATTTTGAAGAAGCAAAGAGAAGAGAGACACAGAGAGAGAGAGAGAGAGAGAAGGAGGGAACGAGGTCTCTAATGACGTGGGAAAGGGGCTTAGTCGCTGAGGGGCAAAGAGAGGTGTGGCTATGGTGGTGGGCTCAGGGAGAAGGGATGGCGGGGCTGGGTACTATTGGGTAGGTGGGGAAGGGGGTTGACGGCGTAACAGGGGAACATGGGGTAGATTAAATATTTTTTTATTTTAAAATAATATTAAATATTTTTAAATTAATGAAACTGATGGAAATGAGGTATGTGACCTGCTTTGCTAAGTGCTGCAAATGCGTTGCCCAAATTCATCCTAATCGCAGTGATCAAAAATATTTTTAGGCTAAAAGTTACCTTTTGTTTTTGTAGTTTGACACTTCAACCACTTTTGATCCTGTAGTTTCAATTTCGTCAATTTTGCTATTGTAGTTTCGTATTTGTAGCAATTTAAGGACATGTTAGTATTCATGTTAATTTCTTTAACGATGAAAGGAGCAATTTCGTCAACCCAAAACCCTTGAGCGTAAAAGCTTGTCTGAAATTCTCCTCATTTCATATTAGGGCTCGAAATTCAACCACTAATCCCAATTTTTAAAGAACCCTAAACCCAAATGACCAATTTCAAGCCCTAATATGAAATTAGAGGAGTTTCAAACGAGCTTTTATGCTCAATGACTTTAGTTGACGAAATTGCCCCTTGCACCGTCAAAGAAATTGACATGAATACTAACTTGTCCTTGAATTGCTACAAATACGAAACTACAGGGTCAAGATTGACAGAATTGAAATTACAGGGTCAAAAATAGTTGAAGTGCCAAACTACAGGAACCAAAAGTGACTTTTAACCATATTTTTAACCCTTTTTTCTAATTTGAAAAAACGAGTTCTAAACATGGAGCCAAGAAAAATTACTTAACATTACAAGAGACTGCTGAATGTTTGATACAAGTTACAAGCAGGAAGTACATGAGCAAGGTCACTAAACTGGAAGAACCGCGCTAATCTAAGGAATCAGAATTACAATCACTGAAAACCAGTAAAAATAGTAACAATTATCATAAAACTCTAATCTCATAACTGTACACCCACGAAGGCCACCAACTCCAAACAATGCAGTGAGCTTCTCCAACACATCTGTGCAACTATTTACAGACATCCTAACCGTCACCCTTTCAACATAAGGGAACAACACTTGCATCCTTAATTGCCACAATTTAAGGCTATCCAACTCGAGTTAGACATCTTACGTTGTCACTTCCATGATTTCAACTGCTTTGGGGCTTTGCCCTGGAGTTTCAAACACCTCCATGCTTTCTCGGCCCTCATCATCACCATTGTTTTCACCTTTGTCACCCTCACCATTGTTGTCATCTTTGTTATCATCATCATCATTACCTTGGACATCCTGTGCATCACCACAACTGTCATTGACATCAACACCTTCAGTACCAATGTCTTTTAATGATGGGGACTTCTTATCATTGACCAAGTCCATATTTTCAGGAGCATCAAAACTGGAAGATGCATCCAAGTTCAGTTTTTCCTCTTCAACATGTTTAGTACTAGAAGGAACTTTGATATACGACAAAGCTAAACCATTGGTGTCGACATCTTTGGCAACAGTGGAGGATGTAAAGGGATGAGTGCATGAGCTAATTTTTGAAGATATGGCTGAAAGTACATCAGGCTTTGCCTCAACATCAACCCACTGGTCCCCCAACCAATCTCTTGATATTCTCAGATCCTTTTTGTGCATGTTCAAGAGTAAGCTTTCACCTGATACCACCACAGTAATTACATTATAACAAATGAACGAAGGAAAATTTAGGGAAGAAACAGGGGAGAAAACTAGATACAATCTCTTCTATGCATACCAGGAAAGAAAACTTGAAAGTTATCACCACAGCTGCCAACTCCAGTGATAATCCCTTCCCACCAGCCATCACTCCACCATGCATCAATTGCAGCCCCAACCTCAAGAGCAAGGTCCATTTGTTCCTTAGGAGGGGCTGGCCGGATCATTGGGCGGCCTAGATGCCTTATGCCAAGCTTATCAGGCATAGCCAGTCTAAAAGCTGGGATCCATTCCTACAAGTTAGAGAGAGAGGGTCATGCCGCCAGAATATAGTTCAGAGCCCAAAGGAAATCAAGGAAACACAGAACAATCACTCAAGAGGACAATAATTTATGTGGTCCGATCTAACCAAATGCTTACAGATAATGATGAAGAAAATCACAATGCAAAGGCTGCTCCATCTCTCTCATAAGTCATAACGAAAAGCCTTTTACACCAAACATAGGACCATCTTCTAAACGATAACCCTAAACTATGAATACGAGTTTAGATAAAACTGACTGGGTCAAACAGGTAAATCCAATAAATCTGGAGGATGATAGTGCAACGAATAGTGTTCAAGACACCATCATAAAAGAGTGAAGGTCGACATGCTTTTCGGGGTAAGAGTTCAGAATTTTTTTTATAAAATAAAAAAAACAAAAAAACAAAAAAAAACACAGATGCTGAGGAGTTAATGTTATTAGATAGAGATATGCACACAACTGTAAAATCTCAACATGCTAGATTACATCTCCTAATGAGGGAAAGTACCGAAGAAAGAAGAGAAAAACTGTATTTTGAATTGGAATTACAATGAAGGGATGATTAAAAGAGAATCTTGAATGGAAATTTTGTGTACTTGACTTAAACATGACGTCAGCATTTTACACCACAACTTAGAGCTCAAAACAAATATTAAATAAAGAATATATACAAGTGGCTAAGCATACCTCAAGATTGCCACATCCTTCCTCATCTTGCAAATCATCATATTGGACTTTCACCTGTTTTCGTGATATCTGAAAGACTGTACACCTAAACCAACAGCCTCGAATGCCACTATCTTGGCATAGCAATTCTATCTTTTCAGCAACCTTAAAGAGTGGGGTATACCAAGGCTGATAATCAACAAGCTTCATGGAAAACAGTCTCCTGTCTAGCGAACCATAATTTGATTTCTGAAGAGGTCTATATGGCATCATCTGGCTATCTCTTGTAGAACTTCTTGCTCTTGAATGATTAGCTGCAAACCTCTGGCATGGCCTTCCACTTCTAGTCCTCTTAGATCCTAGTTTTACATACTCACTTGGACCCAATTCATCTTCTTCCCCAATCAGGCTATCACTTATAAACTCAGATTTTGCTGAAAAGTTGGGACCCAAACAAGAGAGAATTGGCTGATCAAAATAGCCATGCATTTTACTCAAATCAAATGGCTTCACCTTGTTACTTTTAAACTGCCTACAACAAAGATGCACTCTGGCCAATAAAGCCCTAGGAAACACAGCTAAGCATTTTTCATAATGTTCACGAGTTAAGACTGTTGCAGGACCATCAACACATTCTGCACTAATGACCTGCACATATGGTGTGATGAAAACTTCCTTTGGGTGAGGATTTCTCAGAGGAGTTACCCCCTTGACTTCCTGGCTATGATGAAACCACCTCACTTTGACCTTTCTTTGACCTCTCTTGTCTTCGTACATATCTTCAATATAAGCAACATAGTGATTTTCTCCCTTTGCCATGACAAAGACAAAGGACTTAATCTGGATGCAAAGGGAAAGGAAACACAATCAGAGGAAAAGAATTACGGTTGACAGTAAAAATTGGAGTAGCATGTCAATTCCATCATTCACAGAATACAAATGGTCATTAGCGATTAGACCAAGAAGTACACATCGAGGAAATCTTCAACAAAATGCCTTGATACATAGTCCTTGAACTAAGTACCCAGAAGTTTATGCATCAATATATCAACTATAAGGCATATGAGACATGTAATTGTGACTCATGCTCAATATATCAACTACAAGGCATAGTGTTACTATTACATAATTGTGACTCATGCTCAACTGTTTTCATTCAAAGCAACAATACTGCAACATACCAACATAAAGACAATATTTATGTTATCTTCTATGGAATCTTTGAACTTGAGACAAATGCTTCATTTATTCAATGTAATATCTTTGAAGTACCCATGTAGAGGATATACTTTATCTTAGCTCATACTAATCCCAGAGTAATCATTTTTCTGACAAGAAATGTCAGAGCAATTATTTCTGGAGTACTTAATTTTATCACTCTAAAAATTAACGTGGTATTAATGTTTGAGAGTCTAAGCAAGGAGAGCTATGCATTCCACAGTT